TGATTTAGATTGAATGTATATTTGTAAAGAAAAACCTTCATAGTCTAAAACTTTTTAGTTTTAAAAAAAGAATTTTGCTTATAATATGTCATTCAGTGAAGTTTGACATTCAGTAAAAAGAAAGTTATTTTCTCATTATACACATAACAGAAAACGCAATTAAGTCTTTCATTGTTTATTTATTCTGCAGTACCATGACATGGGGTAAATTGGGATCCTGGGGTAAATTGGGACAAACCTGCGGAAGATTCTCAAAGTACCTGTAGCACGGAATCTACCTAATTTTGTTTATGTTAATATTTATCAATGTATAGAAGAAAAACCAAGTTAACTATGGAAGTACTAAATATGAGTTAAGTTGGTCCCAAAAATTCGTCAAATTAAATTGAAAATAGTGGTTGAAAAGTGCGTTTTAAAACAGCTTAAAGAACTTTTAAAAAAAGTAATATTATCGTTGTTTTTTCAATAAGATCACAGTTTATATAAGTTTTTAATACACCTGGAAATACCACAACAAACGGTAAGTTGCAATATTCTTATTTTAAATACAATATTTCGACAAAATAAAAAATGTATATTTTTTCCTTTCTTTTTGGGGAAAATTGGGACGTATGTAGGGTAATTTGGAACGAGACTGGAAAAATTAGGGACGAGAAAACACAAAATTGGAACGCCAAAAGACAAAATAGGGATGGCTTGTTAGGGTTGTCACTGATATCTTATAATAGATTTTTTAGCCTATACTATCACTTAATTGCGTGATGTAAAGAAGGTTAATGTGTTTATCAGTTAGTTTATGTAAGTATTATAGGTAAAAGAAAAGTATATATATAATTACTTTTTTTTCGCGACATTTACCTTGTAATATCTGCCCGGTCGTATGTTCTTTATAGCAATAAAAAAAATTAAAAGTTAAAAGAACTCAAACGAATCAAAACTTTTGTTATTTCAGAATCTATTCACGCGTCGAATCATGATTTTGTTAACATTCAAAACGCACACACAAATAAAAACAGGCCTCAGATTTTAAATGTAACATTAATTAAAAATCCGAGATATCCAATTATGAGTGAGTGAATTAATTGAGTTTAGTTATTTAGCTTAGAAAGAATTTCTTTTATTTTTGTTATTATTGGCAGTAATCAGATAAAGCTGTTTTTTTATCTTATTCACCTGATATCTTACTCTTGCTCAAAGATTATTTTGAAAATGTTGATTAAATAAAATTGTATTATTGCATTTCCAGTCCTTTTGTTTTCTATTTTTTATTCTATTTTATGATTTTGTTTCAGAGTTGTGATTTTTAAGGAAATTAAATAATAATTTTCTAAAATATAACATGCACATACTTTTTTTGATCATTGTATTGTTGATTATCATTCACGTCACATCGCTTCGGAATAGAAACCAGCTTAATTTACACTATGTTGTGTATTGTGCTTAAATTATGGATTGTATTCATCATTTCGGTCCATATAAATAATTATATGGCACCTACCTATATATCGCAGTACTGCGAGTTGACAACCCTTACAAATATCCCAATTTAACCCTTAACCGTGTCAATTTACCCCGGACGCTGGGTAAATTGGGACGGCCATTATTTTACCGATTATTTCTTTAAAATTAATAATTAAAATTATGTAACGGTTTTTATCACCTAGGTACGTTCAAGACTCAACTTATTTCTTTGGTTGAGCAGTGACTATTTAATTGGAACTATCTTAAAATTCAATCTGAAGGTCGATTTTGTCCCTATTTACCCCATTGTACGGTACCCAATATCATTATAAAACAACATTCAAAGCCCATAATTTAATGAAATTATTATTTTTAACAAACTGAACTTTCTTTTTACTGAATGTCAAACTTCATTGATTGACATATAAGAAACATTATTTTTATAAAACTAAAGAGTTTTAGACTATGAAGGTTTTTCTTAATTAAATGATGATTTACGAACATGAACAAAAAATGATTATTATTTCAAATAATGCGAAACGTGAAGGGTTACGTTCTAAGAAGTGTCAAAAGGGACTTCGTAATTAGAATAGAGTATAAGCATATTGTTTCTGGATTTTCTAATGGCGAGTACCTGCATAAACGCAGCCATAACATTCAACAATATTCTCTGAAACATGGTTTTGTAGATTCTGCTGTACTTCATTATTAATATAAACTACAATCCAGTTCTTCAGAACTCTCACGTTACGCTCTACTGGAAACGATCTATTACCAAGTAAAGGACTATTGTCGTCAATAATATCGTCTGGTGTCGTGATAAAAACAACGATCTAGTGACGAGAAATTCGTGAAAACGAAACAGAGTAAATTGTTAAAGTATTTAGACCCGTCCCGAAGGTTAGAGTTATTTCAAGTATGCTTGTCCCGATAGTCTGTGCAGTGCTTGGTTTGATAGCGAAAATTTTCGAACAACAACCTTATTCGGCTGGGGTCAAGGGGCTTATGCCGAAAGCGCTCATTCTTGACACGGTATGTTTAGTTAGGAGGTTTCTCACTCTGAGGCTCTAACCACTAAGTCCTGGAAACCGCCACCAATAGTAATCTACTCTAGTGTATCCTCCAGTAAACTCAAGTGTTTAAAAATATACTTTCTAATCCACATTCTTTAAATCTTGTTTTAAATATGGAACAAAAAATATCTTCAATAAATATGTCGGGAATAATGCATATTCAAAAATAAAATGCAATTTTAACCGATAGTCCGTAATGTAAAACTGAAAAACGCGTTATAAGCATAGGAGTCTACAGTTTATCTAATAGCAAATGATTGTTAATGGTTCCGGACATCGGCCAGAAGCACAGCTCTATTCCGGATTCTATTTAAACCTCCATTTTGTTTTTAATCTCAATCTTAAAAGCGAAATCTTTTATTTATTTTTCATCATATAGCAGTTCACTGAGCATTTATTTTTACTTCAACGTAATAAATAATCTTATTTTCCGTTTCCTTTAAAAAGAACGCTGTGAAAAATACATTATTTTAATTAATTTATTCTGAAGACGAATATTTTATTATAGCTCCCGAAACTTTTATTTAGATTCCTCAGCGTGCTTACTGATCGATGTTAATATAAAATTCTTTTTCAGGAAAGTAAACGAAGTCAATGTCTATTACCAGGCGAAGATCAGCTTCGCAAGTCGGCTGTGTCACACCTCCGGGTCGCGTTTATTTGAGAATTAGATTTCGTTTTAATGGGTGTTGCTTTTTAATGTTTTTTTTTTGTATTTCATTCACAGTCAAAATTCGAACGAGACAGTGTGGCTTTGAAATTAAAAAAAAAACTTTCATGGCCTCACTTGCGAACCATCTAGTGTGAAGTGGTCACCGGAGCCGATACGACATCACAACGTGAATGTCACCACCTATCTTGAGACATCGAAGTCTCAAATATAATAGCAGCTACAATGCTAAAATGGCTCCAGCTAAAATGGACAGGTTAATGGTACCGACTCGTAGGGCTTACAAAACGCCTTACAAGCGCTTAACAGAGATAAGAATCGAGGAAAGAAAACATATCTCAGTATGTAACTTGTCTATATTGTATTATTAGTTTATTTCTGTTCCTTTGCTACGATTTTATTTTACTTTTACTTATTTCCCTCACTTTTGTACCTTAAGTAAGTGTTTGCCGATAACAACGGCCGAAATAAAATGCTTTTAGCTTTAAATCCACCCTTTGTAACTGTGTGTTTATTTTTGTCAGTAAAGATTAAACATTCAAACGAGAAGGAATAAAAGTTTTTTTTTTATCGCCTTTGTAGGCAGACGAGCGTACGGCCCACCCGATGGTAAGTGGTTACTGTCGCCCATGGACTTCAGCAATGCCAGGAGCAGAGCCAAGCCGCTGCCTACTGCTAAAGTTTAAGAAGACACCTTAAGATATAAAATTGTCTAATGATTTATTCGTACAAACTATTTTCACGTAAAATATTCTAGCTAAAAACCATCGGATATTGTTTATTGCGACAGTATACCGATCGCTATCACTTTTTTTTTTCAATTGCTCTAAACGCGCACTTAATATTCCGACCAATCTCTTGATATCAAAATCTGAATAGCGCCACCCACATCAGATGTGAGGTTGAAATGTCGAACGAAATGTATAACGGCTATCCCACTTTTCCAAGCAAGCCCCCATGACTGCTTCGCGACAGAAACAGGCAGGACGCCAAAACTTACGGTAGTAACTACGCAAGTAATTTTTTACGTTGAAATGTCATTTGCACTAATTGGTAAATTTTTTTTTGCTTTCAACGAGCTCAGGGCCCATCTCGTTACCGACAAAGTAAATGCCACCCCACCTTGTGGCATCACTTCTGAGTTACAGTTTTATAGTAAAACGGTTGCCCCATCGTTCAAACTGAAACGCATTACTGCTTTACGGCTGGAATGGGCAGGATGGCAGTACCTATCGGGCTTACAACACACGCTACCTTTAAACCGAACCCATAGCTATCAACAATGTAAATGCCGCCACGCTACCTTGAGATATCACTTTTAAATCACAGTTTTATAGTAAAACGGTTGGCCTAACGTTAAAACTGAAACGCATTACTGCTTCACAGCAGAATTAGGCAGGGAATGGTACCCACCCGTGCAAGCTCACAAAACGCCTTACCTCTAAGTACCATTATAATTTGTGTTGTGTAAAGACTTTAGTAACCACTTAAAATCAGATAATAAAAATGACATCTGTCTTAGTTATTCAAACACCATCGCGCTTTAATAAGATTGGCAACGACAAATTAGTGCAAATATTTGTTTATTATGCGCAGTAAATTGTGAGACGTTGCCGCGCCAGCAAGTACATATGTAATTATTCGTAGTAATCGTAGTCAAATAAACAAACTGACGTCTCGGTTACAATATAAGAAAAAAATTAGCAGCAGTCCAGAACTTTCGCTTAAAAGGTGAATGAGTTTATCGAGTTCAGTGATATAAATTGAGGTGTGTGTGAAATTTATTATAAACTTACCTTGAAGCATATGAAGAGCGAAAACGGCATGGTGAGGATCACCAGCATCCATGATAGCACCACCAGGATCTTGCCACATGTCTTCGACTCTGAGTCGACGTCTTCATTCGCTGAAACCGTTAAAATATATTAGAAAAATTGTGGTTTTCTTTTAACAAAATAAAACCGTAGTAATTTTTTACATGTAGTAATGGTTGGATACAAATTCTGGCGACTAGACATTTCTACCATCATGTTTTCTGAATGTGATAAAATAAATGATGAACCACGTTTGTTGATAGGAGAACTACTGCCGCGTTGAACCGGCCAATATATGTTTTAATAATTTACGTGGGAATTTTAAAGGTGGCTATGACGTCAGTCATGTTTAATGATTTGTACCTGTCGCTTCGGTCACCACCATCGTGGTGGAGTCGGAGTAGCGAGCCAGGGTTGCTGCGTGGATGCGACCGCTTCTGACGACTCTTCGCTGTAAACTGTGAGGAGGCTGAGGGCCTGCGGGTAAATATACTGCGCGGGGAGGACGCTACGCCGACCTGTAGCTCGTTTTTGTATATATAGGGATTTAGTTTTTCCTTTGACCATCACTTGCTACAACTTTTAAACTTTGCACTGCCGTAATTTCCATGAGCCTTAGAGCAGTACAAATTTAACTACAGTTGATTCGATTAAAATCAGTCTATATATTTTATGTTTTCTTTTTGTAATAAATAAAATCGTCATCTAAATTATATTTTCGCGTTTGCATTTATAAGTTACAGCATCAGCGGCTTCCTATTGCAGATTGGTGTATTTTTTTCATTATCGGAAAAGAACCGTAGGTGTGGCAGGCATTTATTGTATGAATATTAAATGAAAAGTTTTAGAATCTATCATCTATATTACCTATATTACCATGACGATACCTTAATTTTATCGAAAATTCATTTTAGCGTTATTTTCTTGACTTTTAACTATTATATACAATTTAAATACGTTGTTTTTACTACAAGTATTTACCTTTTACCTCAGTATATATAATATTTATGTTACCTTTGAAACATGAAGATGCGCTTAAATGTTACCAGCTGTAGTGATTAGAATAGCCCTTTATAAAGGCTAAGAAAATATTAGATTTTTGTACTCTTTGTATGATCTATGATAGGCAGATGAGTTCATAGCTGATTTGATTTGAAGCGTTTACTGGTGGCTCTGTCTGGTTACTCTATCTTTTGCGTGGATTTAGTTCAAAAGCTGTACGACTTTTATGTTAATGATCTGCTCTTAAAAATATCTCCTTGTGGCGCCAATATCTACCTGCCACCGAGCGGCCGGCGGCTGGTCGAGGCGATTGTTGTACTTACCTCGCTTCTATGGTAATCTACCCTGTTTATACATTTTAAGAAAATAATCTTTATAGTTTTTGTTAAATAATTGTCATAGCACCGCATGTTGTTACCATAAATTATTGTCATGTACTGCACGATCTGAATTAATTATAACTATTTTAATGTTCTCATTTAAGTGAATTTATGTAATTCTTTTGAGAATAAAGAATATCTTTAACCCGAAAATACCTTATGAGGCTTTGTTTTTGCAGGAATACACATTTGAGCGCAAAATTACCGCTACACACAAGCTGAAGCGACTCAGGGTAAATAACTGTGAATATAACGTAAATATTTCGCTTCAAATTGTTATATTCTCTAAGTTTCAATGTAGGACACAATGCTGTGCATGTCAGAAGTTGCATAGCGACCGCCGCTTATCCTAGTTAGTTGCATTACTCAAACATACAGCGTTTATTCAACATTTTAGCCTGCATTTTCATCATTTTAGTCTTGCATCATACGTGTATATTAGAATTCAATGGAAATTGTTAATTACTCTTTTATTTTGGCCTCTGTAGGCAAACGAACATACGGCAAATCTGATGCTGAGTGGTTACCATGCTACCATACTATTACCATATATACCATACAATTACCATATTATTACCATACTATTACCATACTATACCATTCTATTCTCACGGATGTGTGCTGAGGCATAGCCAATTGGCTGTCTATCACTGAAAACTCTCTGGAAACCTCTTTTGAATAGAGGCATGTCACAACGCTCTAGATACATGGTAGAGGGAAGTTGGTGGGAGGTGCATATGTAGGAAGGAGATGATGGGAACATTTTGAAACATTTCTCAGAGCACTCTTCATAGAACATATGGTACAAAACATAAAGAAAATGGAACCTATCTATCTAGACAATAAAAAGGGCGTAGACTCAGCAATTCTCGTTTACTCTATTTCATTAAAGCAAAATGATAAAAACTTAATGTTCAACTGGGCGGTCCTACTCCTCAGACCGGAATGGCGTGGCTGCTTTGAAGCAGAAATGGACAGGATGGTGGTACTCACCGGTGTCTGCTCACAAGACGCCTTATCGCCAGTAACTACGCAAACAGCTGTTGAAGTTGAAGTATCACTTGTATTGGATAACATTGTGTTGCCTATATGTGTCGGTATCTATTGAACATCCGGTGAGTCGTTCGAGAACTTACTGGTGGTTAGCTTACTGGTTCGAGTCTTACTGGTGGTAGGACCTCTTGGGAGTCCGCGCGGGTAGGTACCACCACCCTGCTTATTTCTGCCGTGAAACAGTAATGCGTTTCGGTTTGAAGGGTGGGGCTGCCGTTGTAACTATACTTGAGACCTTCGAACTTATATCTCAAGGTGGGTGGCGCATTTACGTTGTAGATGTCTATGAGCTCCAGTAACCACTTAACACCAGGTGGGCTGTGAGCTCGTCCACCCATGTAAGCAATAAAAAAAAAGTATAATTTTACTTAAATATTAATAAAGGCACAGAGGGAAAACGTGATAATGTCGCTTGGAAACTTCACAAAACGACCACAAACAAATTCATTTAAAGTTGGACAAAAGCAACGTCGGTATCCCACTTTTTAATAAGAATAAAATAAATATAATCTTAAAATAGTTCTTTCAGTTTTTGTATGAGTTTAGTATTTTATATATACAATTGTTATTATATACATTTAAATATAATATAATGATTTAAATATGAATGAAATGGTCTTATTCGAACATAGTTATTACTCTATAATATTTAAATTTAGTGAAGTCTTCAGAGCACTGTATCTAAAGACTTAGACTATTAAAAACAAAAATATTCAATTAAAATGCATTTATTTATAACGGTAATATAATAGTTGACTTTAATGGAAATCTATTTTTATTTAATGCGTAGATTGGTCTCTCTCTCTCTCTCTGGAAAAATCTCTAGATTATACTTATGTTTACGAATAATTTTGTGTCACAATATTATCCAAGTAAAATGAAATGTACAGAAATAGAACAAGGATCAATTTTATAAATTGTCATCGTATCTTCTGAATTATATGACTTCGGATCTACTTGTAGGAAAAATAACTTTTACGTCGATCCATAAGTGATCTCTTGGTTTTTTTCTTGGGACAGCGACTTTTAGCCAATAACTAGTTTTTTTTTTAATAAACGGTATTTCACAAATGGTGTATTATAAACCTATAAAATTCTACTTTAGCACCAACAACGATTTGATATTGTTAGTTCGCAAGCTGAAATCATAAACATGCGACCTAATGGCTGTAAAAGTAGAAAAAAAACATTTCATATATTAAAATATATAACTACCTTTATATATACGCAGCTAAGAGTGGAAACTATTTAATTAATTATATAACTAAGTTGAAATCCTAAAATCTAACAATCTATAATATCATTATCTCGCAGAACAGTTATTATAAATTTATCTTTAATATATTTATATTATAATCTATAAGAATATCTTTAATATTTATCTCTTTTTATTGTCACTTTTTCTTTTCATCGAAATTCGAACGCCAAAAGTCTAATAAAGTTTATACCTCAAAATTTTAATGTTCACGTGTTATTTTGTTGTTCACGTTTGCATACGAAAGAGAAAAATTGGGTTTCAGGGGAAACTTTGTTTTCCTAACGCTGCCATACATCATACTCGTAAATTCGTGAGACTATTTTTTTGACAAATGTAACATCCCACTGGATTGTTGGTCACACTACCAAGGGATCTAGTTACGCTGGTTTACAGGAATACGTTGGATAAACTCGATTTACCTGAACCGTCTTAATATAGTACATCTTGTTCACTCGAGTTTTAATGAGTGATATTCAACGGAACGTGATGAAGGAAATGTTAAATTTAATGTTTCGTCTCGTATGGAATATCAGAGTTAATATTATGTAGATATATGGATAATTAAAATTATTATATTGAGAATTAGATTAGAATTAGTCTGCTGAATATAAGAAAGATTCAAAAGATCAGACACACAAAAATCAGAGAAAAAACAAAATCTATAGATGCTCTTGAATATGCCAGAAACTTGAAGTGGAAGTGGGCTGGTCATGTAGCCAGACTTAAGGACCAGAGATGGACTGCAAGAATAACTGCATGGGAAGGGCCGCAAGGGAAAAGAAAAAAGGGTCACCCGATATCAAAATGGGAGGATGATATAAAAGCTATCGCTGGCCCTCGATGGATACAGGTAACCCAAAATAGAACCAAATGGAAGGTCTTGGAGGAGGCCTTCACCGTGTTTAATGGGTTCCTGCCAAACATAAGTGAAGAAAATTAAAATTATTATATACCTATTTACTTTGTATTTTAGCAGGAAATTAAAGGCTTTTTATTTTATTTTTTATTATATTGAGAATTAAAACGAATGTTTCCACATAGGTAGACGATACTAAGGTATTTAATGAAATGTTTCTTAGTAATAGTGCCATTGGGAGCTACAAATCGAATTGAGACCGAGAAAAGCTGACCTGTATTTTCTTTGTGGCCTTACGGTGGCATCGTTTCTTTTGAATATTTTATGCTCAATAATATCTGTCAAGTATTAAATTATTTTACATCGATTACAATGTAGATAATAATAGATGTTAATTGAACGAGAATAAATCGAAGTAAAACGATTTTTTTGTTTCATTTTATGAATTAGTAGTTGACAATTGTTGTGTGGTACTTCGGGCAAGATTTTTGACTTCGTACCATAAAATACTGACTGGAGTACTGGTAAGGGGATGCGTGAGTCAATTTTATGATAGATTGTACTCGTTTAGTCATAACCTCTCTGGAGTCTGGGTTTCACTAGGAGCAGAGGAAGCCACAATAAGCAATAGTTGTTATCATAAAAAAATCGGTTAACTGTAAAGTCGGTTTACTGACGATAGTTGAACGTGACAACGTCATAAGAAAATACTGATGGAATGGTTTCATTTTTAAA